AGGGCTGCAGTTAGGCACAGCCCTACTGGCTCCTCTCCTGGGACCATCTATGGTGGGCTAGAAGTCCCCTTTAAGGTACCATGGGGACTTTTGACAGCTTTCTGCCTGTCTTCTAAGATCAGAGGGTGATGGACCATCTCAAGGCTGTCAACGCTGCACCATCTCCTGATGGAGACACGGCAAAAATTTCTCCTGGCAGAGGCTGGGGAGGGATTCATCTGGAGGAGCTCCCCTTGTGTCCATCAAATTTAATGTAAAGAAGGCAAATTCATCCTTTCCTAGAGAAAAAAAAAATCCTTTAGCCCCGTGGCCTCACGGCAGAGAGATGGGAGAGATTAAAAGACCCTGAAAAACCCTCCAAATTTCGGCCTCACAAAGGAAGGGCTTCTCTTCAGTAATGACTTGTTTTCTTTAAAAGTTCAAACGTGGGTCGGCCAAGTTTTAAACCATAAAATTGCACAGCGGCGAGAGGGAGATGGGCTCCAAAGGACCCCCCGGATGCTTTCCAGCCCAGAAAGGGTGTTTGGGGGCTGAGCAGGAAGGGAGGAAGATAAGGTCATGGGTGCTTCCCATCTGCACCCTGCAAAAGGGAGGGGGGGACTGAGGTCCACGGCCAAAGAGATGTTTGAGCAGGTCCTACGTAAACAGCATCCTTTTGCTGGGCTGCTAACAAGCAGGTGGGAGGATTTGGGCTGTGTTAAAATGAGGTGGGACTAGCAGAGAAAAGGAGCATCCTCGAGGCAGGTTCCCATCAGGCTGGACAGATATCCTTTTGCCAAGGAAAAGATTTTAGGCAGAAATATTACTCCTGCCCTTAAATGGAAGAGGAGCTTCAGCCTGCAGGGAGCTGCTCCAGGCTCTCCTCTGCCAAGAGATCCCAGGGGCTCAGCCTTCATCCTTCACCAGAAACACTCCCAAGGCAAAATCCTGCTTTTGAGGAGGTACACAAAAAGCCTTATAGGAGAAATCACTGGCTGGTAGGCAGGCTCTGGCATAGGGAAAAAATGACCCCTTGTTGTTGGCAATGAAGTGTCTTGTGGGATGGGGCCAGACCGACAGCTCCAGGGCAAGGATTAGCACAGGGCACTCAGCATGGTGGTGGGATTCCCAGACAACCCCTGTTTAGGACAGCCAGAGCTGTTTTGTTTCAATTCTGCTGCACAGATGTTTTTCAAGAGTGTTTTCTTGGTGGAGCATTTCTCCATCTCTCCTTCTAGTTACAATTTGGGATGAAACCAAAGATTTCTTCCAGGTCAGAAGTGCTGATGGTTGCTCCAGGAAGCTGCTGGCCGTGGATTCAAGACCTTCCAGGTGACAACCACCTTGACTTCCCCCAGCTACGGGACTGCATGAGGAGCACATGAAGTTCCCTTTCCACCATCCTCCTCTGCTCCTGCGGCTGGATCCCACAGCTCCCACATTTGCCAGGGCTGCTGGATCCCACCTCCACCACCTTGCTCCTGGTTTGTTCCCTGCTGGGGTTTATTTTCTCTGCAGAAAGTCTTCTCCTAGCCTCGGCTACTCTCCTCTCCCTAGAAGGCCATCTCGATCCTGCCTCCAGCCTGTCTCTCTCACCTCTGTTCCTCTGTGTCCCACCATCACTTTCTGCTGTCTCTGAAATCCCACCTCCCACCTGGGGCCAGTTTAAGGGATGCTGGAGAGGGTCTGGGGCAGAGATCGGGGCTGGGGACATGCATGGAGAGGCAGGGACCTGGTCGAAGAGGTGGCTGGGGTCTCCAGACCGTGATGGGATCAAGGATGGCCCCAGCATGCAGAGGTCCGTGCCAGAGTGCTGGCAGCCCTCCTCCTTCTCTTCCTCACATGAAGCCACGAGTCGGGTTTGTCTCTTGAAGGTAAGCAGGCATCAATCAGGGTGACATTTCCCTGCCTGAGACCCCCTTCGGCGGCAGCACCCCGAGGGATGCCGGGTGCCCCTCGGG